AGAAGCCAGGTGTGCCAGGTGTCTGACGTGTGTTTAGTTGTGTAACGTGTCTTCTTTGTTATTACTTTTTGAAGAGTAAAAGTCCTTTGGAAGGAAAGTCTACCTGAGACTAGTTATTAAGAACATGTTTTGCATAGATATTACATTTATGTTTGCTTGGACAATACATGAAATATCACAGACATTAAATTCAAAATCCAAATGATAACAGTGAATGGTCTGTCTCCCACCTGTCTCCAACTACCTAATTGTCCTCTGGGGAGCCAATCAAAAGTTGTACTGTAATATGTACATATATATTCATAAGCATCTAAGCCACAAACATATGTGTATTTATACATATGTATATATGTCTATATACATATACATATGTTTACCCAGACAGTTGCATAATTCCACAGTCTACCCTGAACAACAATGTAATTTTTTTTTGTACAGGGGATCAAACTTGGGACCTTGCGCTTGTGAGGCAGGTGGTGGAACCACTGAGCTAAATCCCTGGCCCAGCTACCCTGAATTAATAGTGAGACCCTGTCTCAGAAAACAACAATAACAACATGGATTGCAAACATGGTAGTTGGTTATTGACACTAAAATTATAATTTGTTAATGATACATAAAAATTAAGCTTGAGTAGCCTTGGGTTACTCCTGTAGTGACATTGTTTTTTACACTTGCATTCCAGTATGCAGGACAGTGTGTATTTGACTCCTCATGACAGCTTTAGGGCCTGGCACACAGCAGGCACTCAAATGCTTGTGGGATGAATGTCAGTGAAGGATAACAGTAAACACCCTGAGTGTTCCCACAGACTACACTGTGCTCCTGTGAATGTCTTTCAATGGGGAAAAATGCCTGGGAACTACTGAACTAAAGAAACAAAATAAGCTAGGTGTAGTGGTGCATGCCTTTAATCAAACACTCTGAGAGACTGAGGCAGGCGGATCACAAGTTCAAGGCCAGCCTGGGCAATTTAGTGAGACCCTATTCCCCCACCCCACCCTGCCAAAGGCCTGGTGATATAGCTCAGTGCTTCCTGGGTTCAATCCCCAGTACTACAGAAGGAAGGAAGGAAAGAAAACCTAAAACCTTATGGTAATTTGAAGTGCTGGCTTACAAGTGGACCCCTCTGCACTTAGGATGAGAATCAAATGTCTGAAACCAGGCCTGCTTTTCATGGTACACGCATGGTGGGGCTGGGCAAACATGGGCTCGGCAGTTTTCCCCAAGGAGATGGAGCAGATAACAAGTTTTCTCATTTAGACTTCCTTTTCCCTACTGAACATTCTCACAGCCCTCTGACTCCCCTGAGCTCACTTTCCACAGGCGAGAACAGATAGAGACATCCCATGCGGCCATGCTGGACCAAGAAAAATACGAGGATTCCCACCTTGGGGGATACCGGCGGATCTACCCGGGGCCTGACATGGAGAAGTATGCACCCTTCTTCAAGCACAACGGCTCTCTCTTCCAAGAGACTGCTGCCTCCAAGGCCAGAGAGGAGTGTGCCAGGTACCTTGCCCTCCACTTTCCTTTGTATATATTGGTAAAGAGAAAATCCTGAAGCTGAACTGCTCCCTAGTGGAGGGGTGGGAAGAAGCCAGACACACAAGGAAAGAGGAACACGTGGGGTGGAGTGGCACACGTCTGTAATCCCAGCACTCAGGAGGCTGAGGTAGGAGGATTGCTATGAGTCCAAGGTTAGCCTTGGCTACACAGTAAGAACCTGTTTTTAAAAAAAAGGAAAGAGGGGGGCTGGGGATTTAGCTCAGTGGTTCTGCTGCCTGCCTCAAAGCACTAGGACCTGAGTTTGATCTCTGGTACCAAAAAAAGGAAAGAGGAATGGAGCTAAAATTCTTGTTTGTTGTTGTTAAAGCAAAACATTTATTGGTACATTTTGGATTTAGATATATATATATAT